GGGATACTCGGTGTCTAGTTTTTTTTGTGGCGATGCACCGTTCGCTGATGCGGGCTGCAGGCAGCCGACCTGGCACAGGCCCCCCCCTTGGCACATGGCACACCTGCGTCAAAGGGCTCGATGGGTCTGGAGGGCTAGGCTTCGTTGAAGCGGGCCGTACGTGAAGTCCTGCATGCTGGATTTCTCGCATTGTGGCCACCTCGTGCAAGTTGAGTGTCTCTACCTTGGGTCACGAGGCGACACGGCGAAGCCATCGGATGCAGAGGCGAGTTCAGCCCAGATGCTGGCACTTTGGCTCATTTCGTCGAGCCTGTTTGTATGGACGGCAGTGCAGGGCAAGCCGCTGTCTCCTGTCAAAGAGGAGCGAGAAGAAGAGGACCACACGATGATAATTGTGTTTTCCCGAACATGTCGGCTTCACTGGCTTCTCTTCAAGATCAACTTTGCATGGTTGGTTGGCATATGCCCCAAGCGCAGACCAGGGGTGAGTGACAGTTAATGTTTCGACGTTCGCACTGTTCAGCATCCCACATCCGGCCCTGCTGTTGCCCGGAACAAGGAGGGGAACAAAGATTCACAGACCCCTCGCAGCTTCCGGACCTTTTTCAACGACAGGCCCCGGCTTTCTGAGTCGCTGCGCAGGCGTCTTTGACCTGCTGTAGGAACGAATCGAAAGACCTGAACCTGTGACATGGTATTTCATTCGGCAAAAAAATGCAGGGTCACCAAGCTGCTCTCCAACAAGGAGGGCGGGTGGCCCAGCACTCTCAGCCAACCTGCAACATTTTTGGACTCAAGGGTGCCCTGTGTGGCCCACAGCCCTACGCAGGCACAGAGCCCGACCGGAAACTCTTCGGTGCCAGCTTCAGCGGTCCGGAACTTGAGGGCTTAGGGTAATCAATGTGTCATGGGAAAGGGCGAGACCTTGGCCTGTTTCGCAAAGGCTTCTTCGGCGGCGGCGGAGAGTGCTGCCCTCAGCCGGTCCTGTGAATTCCGGTCCTTCGGGACAACAAGACCGCTGCGAGCTAACAACAATAATTAAGACCGCTGTGAAGAGAAGCTGCAGCTGAGGACTGGCGATGCATCCGTTTGAGCCTCAGGAAGCCGAGAAGTGTAGGGTGGCAGGGGCACGTTTAAGGACCACGGAATGCTGTCACCACCGAGGTTGCAGCCAGCAAAGAGGTCCCAGCAGAGGTGCGGCATGGGTCAGAGCAGCAGGGAATGTTTGCTCGGATTTTGCGACGGCTCGTCCTGGAGCCTTATAGCGTGAAAGCCAGCAAAAATGTACGCCCCGTGAGGGGTGGAGTCCTTGACGAGACCTTTATAGGTCACAGGTCGCACCGGCTTGAACCCGGAGACTTGCTATGTAGGAGGGAAAAAGAACCCCTGTCGGTGCATCACAAGCGCAACCGCAAAACAACAACGTACTTGCATGAGGCATGGGTTTCCGACCGTACTGCGCGAGATGCAGTCGCTATAGATCTTCACATTGAGATGGCACGAAAACTTCCCATGTTCGGAAGCTCTCATTGTGCTCACTTGCGGCAGGCAGGCACGGAATCAGCACCTGAAGAAAGCAGCGCACCAGCTACATCCTCCGAAGCAGAGGCCCATTGACAGGAAACTTGACGAACTGCACAGTCGTCATGCTTGTCTAGACTCTAGACTCACCAGGAGAAGCGAGCTGAAGAAGAGCGCTTGGCACAAGAGGCTGCTGCAAGAGAAGCGGCGGAGAGAGCTGCAGAAGAGGAGCGATTGGCAGCCGCCAAAGCGGCCGCAGCTCAAAAAGCTGAAGAGGAGCGCTTGGCAGAAGAGGCCGCTGCAAGAGAAGCTGCTGCAAGAGAAGCTGCGGCGAGAGAAGCTGCTGAGAAAGCAGCAGAGGAGGAGCGTTTGGCAGCAGAAAGGGCGGCTTCAGCTCAGAAAGCTGAAGAGGAGGCTGCTGCTAGAGAAGCTGCTGCAAGAGAAGCAGCTGAGAGAGCAGCAGAAGAGGAGCGTTTGGCAGCAGCAAGGGCTGCTGCAGCTCAAAAAGCCGAGGAGGAGGCTGCTGCAAGAGAAGCTGCGGAGAGAGCAGCAGAAGAGGAGCGTTTGGCAGCAGCGAGGGCGGCTGCAGCTCAAAAAGCTGAAGAGGAGCGCTTAGCACAAGAGGCTGCTGCAAGAGAAGCTGCTGCGAAAGCAGCAGAAGAGGAGCGCTTGGCAGCAGCCAGGGCGGCTGCTGAAAAAGCTGAAGCGGAGCGCTTGGCAGAAGAGGCTGCTGCAAGAGAAGCTGCTGAGAAAGTAGAGGAGGAGCGATTGGCAGCTCTGAAAGCACAAGGACGGAGCTTTTGCCAATCCTTTTTGTCACGTAATCTTTCGCAACTCACGGCACATGTTCAGGCTTTGTATGCTGTGCTTTGGCAGGTGTGTCGCCCAGAACCGGCAAGGCACCGCCACCGCCCCCTCCGAAAGCCGGTGCAGAGGCCCAGACAAGCAGAGAGGCTTTCTTTACTTCTAGCGTAGGGCGTGGATGCAAGCGAAAGGCAAGCCGCAGCGGATCCAAATCCTCCACGAAGGACCCCCTCACAAAAACGCGCTCACTGCATAGCCGTAGCGCTGGTGGGCACATGCTGCTGAAGACTACAAAATTCCGCAGGAGGGGGGTGAGCGGCGACCGCCTCCACCACCCCCCAAGGGCAAGCCGTCGTCGAGGCGCGAGTCGGCGCGAGAGTTCAACATCAAAAGTTAATGTATTCAGAGTCCATGAGGCCGGGTCCTCAAATCCTCTCGGTGGACACAGACCCCGAAGCGAACATCGGGTCGGGCTCGGTGCGGCCCTTACTCCACACCATCCACTCCGTACCCCTGCAGTGTTCTTGCTGTTGGCTTTCTTGGATCCCATGGAGGCAAGCCCAGCCGGTTGGCAACGTGCAGACCATTCCCTTGCGATGCTGTGGCAGTCGCAGCAGCAAACCCCGACGGGCAGCGCAGCCCCGTCGTCGTCATCCCAGAGAGGTCAGCCCGAGTACTTCGTATGACACGTCCACTGCATGAAACTCCTGTGACATTCCAAGCTTCGGCTCAACGAAAGGTTCCCGTAGGTCCCAGAAGCTCCTCCGAAAGTCCGGAGTTCTGGGAGGCCATGGCTAGCGAGACCACAGACGTTGCAGCCCCTGAGGCGGTAAAGTATCTCCCTGAGCTGCGGGATTTTGTGGTTCGCGGCCACACCTCAGTGGAATGGCGAATGGGTCAACTCAGGCTCCTGCGTCAAGTACTGGAAGAGGAGAAGGAAGCGATGCTCCAAGCACTAGGCTGCGACCTTTGTGTGGATGAGGCACAGGCACTTCTTTTCCAGATCGGCTGCTTGTTCGGAGAGATAGATCACTTTCTCGACAACATCGCAAGCTGGAGTGCCATGAAAAAGGTCAGCACACCTATGGTGTTGCAACCTGCCTCGTCGTATGTGCAAGCACAGCCAAAGGGCGTGGTGCTCATCATCGGAGCTTGGAATTACCCCTTTGTGGTAACACTTGGGCCTATGATTACCGCCCTTGCAGCTGGGAATTGTGTGCTCCTCAAGCCTTCAGAGTTGTCGCCAGAGTCAGCGCAAGTCATGCACCGCATCTGCACTCGCCTTGATCAGCGAGCAGTGCGTTGCTGTTTGGGTGGTGTGGAGCTTTCCACGACCTTGGTTGCCCAGCCCTTCGATCACATCATATATACAGGATCTACGCGCGTGGGCCGGCTCATAATGGCAGCCGCCGCCCCGAATCTTACCCCGCTGACACTGGAGCTGGGCGGAAAGTCCCCTGTCGTGATCTGTGGAGGCATTGACATCAACGAGGCATGCCGAAGGATCGCAGTGGGGAAGTTCGTGAATTGTGGACAGACCTGCATCGCGCCGGCCACCTAACTGAAGTGCGAAGTCCCAAAGCCAAGCACCTCAACCTGCCCCAAGCCTCAAGCGCGAAAAGGCCGGTGTTTTCTAAGTTCTGAGAAAGAACATCCTCTAACCAACTGCTTCAGCCCAGTGCTGAGGATTACATGTTGGTGGAACGCGGAGTTCGTGATGAGGTTGTTGCGTGCCTCAAGAAGGTCATCACGGAAATGTTCGGTGACAGCACGCAGGCACCACAGAATCTTAGCCGCATGGTCAACCAGCAAGCAATGGAAAGGTTGCACAAAGCCCTTCGCGAGCCACACGGTGGTCACGTGGAGCTTGGGGGGGCCTCGCCTCCTCCTGGCACCATCAAGGAGGGCCAGAGATACGTCCAGCCGACGATCGTGGTGGACCCGAAAGCTGAGAGCACGATCATGCAGGAGGAGCTCTTCGGACCTGTGCTGCCAATCCTCAGCGTGGCGTCCTGCGACGAAGCCGTGAGTTTCATCAACAGTCGGCCCAAGCCCTTGGCACTCTACGTCTTTGCCCCTCAGCCAGTGGTGGATCATGTCATGCAGAGCACCAGCTCCGGAGCTATTTTGGTAGGTGACACGGCCGTGCACAAGGGCAATCCCAATGTGCCCTTCGGCGGGATCGGTGGCTCCGGCATGGGTAGTTGCTATGGTGAGTTTGGTTTCAACGAGCTTTCGCACCAGCGTGCCGTGATGTACCGGCCCCTCTTCCCGCCCTCCCCTATCAGCCTTCCGGCTGACTCCGCTCTGAGCAAGATCTTGTGGTTCTGGGTTACGATGAAGCCCGCGCACTCCAAATTGCTGAAGCGAGTAAGTGTGCTGATCCTGGGCTTGCTTCTCCTACTCATCACAGGCAAACTCCGGCAAAGGTTCCTTAAATAAACTTTAAAGATGCACCGTGCACCAGTAGAGCTAGATCTGGCTCGTGGACGCAATTGGCGTCGCGAGCATGTGTTTTATGGTCTTGCCTTTAAAGTTACGGCCGCCTGGGGCATCTCTGGCAGAAGGACAGACGCAGGTGGTTGCATAACGTTCACGCTTGCCAGCACGCATTGCAGTTGGCTGCAAGAGCGCCTGTGCCGAAGACCACCGCAAACGTTGTATGACACGATTTGAACTGAGGCCGCTGGCAAGCATGGCAAACCCCGATGACACCCAGGCTTCAGAGGGCAGCAGCGAATTCACAGCTTTCAAGATCCTGTGCAGCGACAGAATCGAACTTGCGCAGGCGAGAGCCGAATCACCGGCGGGCTCTGCACCGAACACAGACAGAATGATGTCAAGACCGTGGCTGGACTGCATTTGGTCCATGTGGTTTGGTCGACAGTCTGAGTAGGCCAGCTTTCTACATGAGCATGCGAACAATGAAATCACAGCCCAATCTCAACGTCATGCGGACGCAGTTTGTCGTTCCATGCATGCCTTCCCCCGGGGCTTCAGCTGTTGAGGCCCCGTGGTCCTGGCCCGATGATGCCCGGCAGCTTTCTCGAGCAGAGCGACTGCCAAGATGCACTGGAAGGGCACAGCCCAGAACGATGAGGTCCTGGCTTGAACGTCGAGACCGACTTTGAAGATACCCTGAAGTCCAACGCGTCCTTTACGTGCAATCCTCAAGGATGTCCAGGGCTGCTGCCGAACGGTCTGTCAGATTCAGCTCCCAGGTCAGATTCGCCAAGCAACCGCAGGACTTGCGCGCAAGCAGTCACTTCACTCATCAACAAGTGTGATGTCCTCCATTCTGTTAGGGTCTTGCCTTTCCTGGTGTGTTACATTGATAAATTTTGGATCAAGCTTGCCCGTGGTCTGCCCCCTTTTTACATGCACAGGCGCAAAAGCCGGAGCTTGCGGTATAGATCCCAAACTCCCGTTGGGCTTTGCTGCTTCACCTTAAGGCTGCTAGTAAGTAGCATATGCATATACTGCAGGCATATAACCTGGCATACTCTATACATACATATATATATATGCAGACACTCGCGCACACACACACACAAACACACACGCATTCTATCTCTCTCTCTCCCTATCCCTCTGCCTACATATACGTATATATATATATATGTGTGTGTGTATGTTTATGTATGTGTGTATATATATATGTATGTATATATATATACATATGTATATATATATATACATATGTATGTAGGGTATGTATGTATGTATGTATGTATGTATGTATGTATGTATGTACATATAGATAGAATGTACTATTATACTCTTCATCTGACGCTATCTATCTATCTCTATCTGTCTATCTACCTAGGTGTTTTCATTAATACACACACTCTGTGCAGGTGAAGTCCCAGGTCTCAGCTTCCTCGGATGTCGCCTTCAGAGTGCTGAGGCCCAGGCACGAGGGGTGAAGGCTGAAGGGCCTCAGAGTTTGAGTCTTCCCCGAAAGCTTGTGCCTGTGCCAGGCATGGCCCTCACACCGCTGTTGCTCGCTGCTGTCTTCGGGGCATCGAGATCTTTTCGACTTGATGCTGACTCGAACTTCTCAGGCCTCGAAACAAGTGATCAGTGCGGCTGACGGCACAGGTTTGACTACAGGCCCGTCCGCTGCATCCTAGTCCCTGTGGTCAGGCACGATTGACACCAAGCGCGAGTGGCCATGGAAGAGGACAGACCTTTGAGACGATGAGATTCATGGAGACCCTGGTTTGACAAACCGTTGTAGAGGAGATTGACGGTGGATGATGTGGCGATAGAGAGGTGGCGAAGAGACGGCGGCGACCTGCCTACTTCTTCCAGTGCGTTGCTGGAGGAGGCGAGTGTACTGCATATACATATAATAAATAAATAAGTTTAAATAGATAAATAAATACAAATATATACATATATATGCATAGGTGTATGATACAACAAATGCAACGTATATTTACGGAACTTTCAGTGTTTGTTTCTGTGTTCCATAGAGCGAGGCAGTCGGAGGAATAGAGCACGGAACAATTGCATTGGAGGCCTCAGGCAATGCATCTTCAGCACCTCCGCTTCCACCTGCCTGGTCCAAGCGGCTGACCTTCTTGAGAGCATTGGGCAGTGGTGGGCACGGAAGCCACAGCTGCAAGAAGCGGGCAGGCTTGATGATTGGACGAAGAGGACCGGTGTGCCGTTGTGGCAGCCGAGGAACTGCATACCTCTATGTAGCTTCATGCGGTTCGTCGAATATCACTGTGACGGTGAAGCTGCTGCACAACAAGGGGCTGAAGGCTCGGTCCAGGAAGAAAGCTATCCGCAGAAGGAATCATGGATATGCATTCGCAAGGACATGCAAGAAGTCAGGGCGATGCGGGCGATGTACGGGGTTTCGGACTTTTGCATCTCCACATTGGGTGCACCGGACTACATCGACACCGAATCGGGCAACTTGCTCGAAACTCGCTGCTTTGGTGTGAAATCACATGAGAGCCTCGCACATGCGTTTGCAGCAGAGGTCTGTGGATCATGATGCCATTTCTGAATTCGGGCAACCTCTTGCACCTGCTAGAGAAATTGGAGAACTGTCCTGCGAAGTGGCGGTGTAACAGCCGCATCTGTTGGGAACGCCTCGGAGCTCCTTACAGCATTCCCTTTGTCACTAGGCCTTGAAGGCGACGTCTCAAGTCCGAGGATGCACAGTCTGCTACTAGTAAGTATTAACTTTCCGGAAACATAGCATTGCCTTGAATTTGAACTGAGCTGACTTGGGCTGTTACACGGACAGCTGCAGTGCAGCCCTCAAGCTCAGGTGCAGGCACTGCTTTATCAAGCAGCTTTGGGTGTCGGAGCCCTTCACTCACAAGGGTACCACCACATGGACTTGAAGCCAGAGAATATCATGCTGAATTGCCGGGGTAGCAAATGCTTCTTGTCTTGCTGCAAGAACTTGGAAAGTCCATGCAGTAGCTCAAGCTGGCGCTGGCGAGAACAGGTTTCGCTGAAGTCATCGACCTGGGCATTGCGTGCCATCCGAAACTGTGCAAATGGTCCGGCACCTCGGTGCATCAGATCGGTCACTGGCGCAGCGTCCAGAGTAGAATGTGCCAGACCATCGCTGACGCGGTGGGAGCACACGAAGCCCGCGGAGCTGAGGAACCATCGGCTTCATCGCGCCAGAGGTCTGGACTGGAACAGGCCTTGGACTGGCGGCCAATGATGTTTGGTCCCTTGGGGTGGTCTTCTACGAGCCCCCTGGCCGGGGAAGCGAGGATGGGGAGGGATGCACGATCTCCACCAAAAGCGCAGCCTAGAAGCCCAGGATGATGTATGGGCGCAAGCCACCGTTCCACGGCGATCGGAGTGGAAGAGAGACGAGATCATATATCCCCCTGACCGGGTTGGTCAACGCTTCTCATGATGTTGTTGATCCTGCTTTCCAGCTGGAGCGTTGAAAAGTCTAGTCTACTGCTGTCCCTTCAGGATAGACGATGCAATTCCGAAGCCTGGCATGCCCATTGACCGCTTGATTGAAAGCATGCCTCCTGCCTGCCAGTGTGAGTTGCAGCAGCGACTTGCGGCCTTTCAGCCTGGTGTTTGCTACTTGTAGGTTTCGATAAGAGCTACAGTTAAGCTTTGCGGACAATCGGACTGTTACAAACTACACTAGCTATCATTGCGCCCTCCGGTTGGAAGCGCAGTCAGATCGTCAGGCTCAGCCACAATCCGTCGAGACGCCCGACGATGCGTTGCCTGTCTGAAACGCGATGCGTCCTCCTAAGTTCGAAAGATTGATTCTTAAGAAGCGCTTCGTTTGGCTCTCTGTCTGCTGTGCTCTAGGTGGGCTGCAGGGTTGGCTTCGCCGCATCATCCTTGATGCAAATCCAGGACAGGACGTGCTGGAGCTTCCCTCAGCTTCTTTCGGCTATCAAACTCCGTGGCTACGGTCTCACCGAGTGCTTTGCCGCCTCGAACTAACATTCTCGTCGTGCCCAGGATATGATCAACATGTCTCCACTTGAGCGAGGCCGTCAAGTCTTGTCTTGCTCCTGTGGGTGGGAGAACTACTTGTCAGTTCTGCGCACAGGCGCGCAAGAGAAGGTGCCGCCCTGTCTACTTCAATATGAAGAACCTCGGCGAAAGCAACCGTGACCAAATCCAAGATGGAGTGCTGAATCTGCCGCTGTGCTGAGGACCCCGAATATGCCATGGACATCGGTGACCGGCCAGCTCACCGCATGGACTGTGCCAGCCCACCAAGGCCACGAATAAGCTGCGGCACTCATTAATGCATGTTGATGTCTAGAGAGGGCTGTTGGACCGAGCGCCTGCAGGTATGCCCAGGGATACTTCCGGTGTGGTGTATGTGTCAGCTGCAACCCCTGCTGCAAATGCGACGTGAAGCGTAAGGATAAGCCACTTGGATGCAGTCGGCAGCCATCAAGGCCTAATTCGCCCCGGCTGGTCCTGACAGACGGGTCACCAGTCCAAGGTTGGAGAAAGCATACTTTCGCACCTGCTCATCAATTTATTCTTGCAGTCGTCCGCGGTCAGCGGTTATGTGCAAATCCTATTTTGCGGAAGCAAGCTGAGGCATGTCTACATGTGAATGACAGCCTTGAGCTGTGGGCACTCGGTCTTTTTGGATCCCGTGCAGCTGTGCCAGATGTATGATTCCGACGACGACAAGTCGAGCGAAACAAAAGCGCGGAGTGACGAAGCGACTGTGCTAGTATGAGGTGCGAGTTAAGGTGGCTGTGTCCCCTTACATGAAGTGGTCCGGGTTGTAACTGGTTTCGTGTATTCGTGATCCAGGGGACCTCGGTCGAGCTGGCGCTGAAAGCTAAGCTTTCCAAACTCATCCGAAGACGACCCGCGCAGCAAGCTTGCACGTTCGTAGTGCTATCCCATTTCGGGGAACTTGGCTCTTGGTTTCGATTCTGCTGCGAAGTCCCCCATCCAGAACACTGCCAACTGACAGTATCACAGTAGATCAGTAGTAGATCACAATACTCAGTTGGTGTGCCGTGGGGCCGAAGGACCCACAGCCTGGGCGGCTTGGCCGCGGCTTCAGCGAACGTGGTGGCAGCGGACAAGAAGGCAGAAAGCTGCAGAATCAGCTCCGAATGAAATCCATATTGTCGCTTGCTATCCAGGCCGGAAAAGTTGGAACACCACAACATTCGGCTAGATCCACGGCGCAGCTCGGCTGTAGTTACAACATGTGGCTACTGGAGAGGCTTACTGGCATGCTGTGAACTCTGGGCTCCAGAGATCTCTCCAAGGGCCAGCAAGCCACCAGATCGGATCGAGATCTCATCAAGTCTCCCGAGCATTTTCCCCCGCAGAGCTCGTAGTCCCTTTAAAAATACTTCAGGTGAATAGCACTCAGAGTTTACAAGCAAGATGCACTTCAGCTGCTTGGGTGGTGTAATTTGTCAAGTTCGGCTACACGGGAGTCCGACGAGGGGGGGGGGGGGGGGGGGGGCAGGGCGGCCCAATAATTGAATGACAACGCAGGTCCCGGCCAATCAGAGCTAACGTGCCGACAAGGCTCGTCAGTGTGTGTTTGCAAGCATGGACGAGAAGTGGGTCTATGTCGGAGTTGGTCCACAGGAGTCCGCGACAAGAACAGATTCAAGCGCAGGAGCTGCACGGGAATGCTGTTGGATGTGACTGGCCTTTTCGTGGGCAGAGGTCGTCAGTTCGTCCGTTGGTGTCAAAAAGCGTTTGCAGGACAAACTGCTCGGCCACACACTCCCTCCGCAGTGACGGCTTGGTCTGAAACTTTTTGATCTAGCTGAGCATGGATTCGTCCAGATAGTATGTTCCTGCAATGCAAGCATAGCTACATTTACAAGGTAATGACTATCATGTCGCATCTTCGATAGACTTGAATATCCGACAGCACTGAAGTGATTCGCTAAGTTTACAATCGCCGTATATTGCCGTTAACCATTTTGCAATCAGATTGCCTGGAGATTTTGTAGCAGGGTGCAAAGTCTTCCAAAGTTGAGCCTCGCAAGATGGACACCAAGCAGAGTACGGGCCAATTGGTTTGGTTCGGTTCAAGTCGGGTATGTGACGTTGTGTTGCTTCCCACGTGTCTTGTGAAGGCTCCAGGGAAACTTGAGCACAAGAATTCTAATTAAGGGCCCTTGCGACATGCGATGTTTTGCAGGTTAGCAGCGCCTGCGGTTTCAACCCGCCCTGATGGGCACCTCGAGCTGACAGCCGAGCTTCACCTCGAGCCGACCGACTTTTAGAGAACTGTGCAAGACAAGTGTGAAGCTTTAAGTTGTTATGCTTTTGCTTGCAGGGTTGCGAGTTGGGCAAAAAGAATTTTTTGCAAATGACAGAACATTACGGTCTCGCCGCGGCTGGTTCGAGCCAGAACATGCAGGTGTTTCACGAATCCACGCATGTTTGCCGACCTATCGGTGGTGTCAGCTTGGCACCGAACGTCATCGAAGTTTTTTGTTGGCAGCTCGCCATAGTATAGCATAGACATGCGAACCCGTAAAGGCAGGTGGAGTTCGTCTCGATGCAAAGGTTAGTTAGATGGCTGGAGGCGCTCATGCCGGAGAGTCATTGGGCGCGCTGACGCGTTTGTTGCACGACACGAGTGTACCTTTGCAGCCAGTACTTCGTATAGACCTGGAAAACACCGACGACATGTGTAATTTGACGGTCAACACTGATATTTGGTGTGTTTGTGCCAGGCGTAGAGCGGCGAACCGCCCGCTGTTGGGAGTCCAGGGCTCAGCATGCTCTGATTCAAGAACTAGTGATAAGCAGTGTCCGTGGGGGTTAGCCGCTGTGTGTTTCTTGGTGTCACACTGCTCACTGCAACTACGCTGCTCAGCTGCTACTGAGATATGGCAGCGTGTTCATTCCTGAAGATGACGGGTGTGATGAGGCAAGCGAATGCAAATCATGCAGTTCCAGAGTCTGCACAAGTCCTCATGTCATGCAAGATCACTGTTGCCATTTTGGATTCGCAAGTCAAACACTTGCAGCTGCAGTTGTCAGTGCTGGTATTCACGTGATCGCTACAGTAACATTTGCCAGTATTTCCACCAACGACGACAGTGCCGACGGGCGCACCTTCGACCGCGACAACCACAAAGACCATCGCGACCACCAACGACGGCGTCGACGGCGCGACAACGACAAAGTCCACGACATCGACGACCAACGCTTATCGAAAATCATCTACTACTACTACTACTACTACTGCTACTTCGTTTACAACTCCGGCTCCTGTGTTTTTTGGTATCGTTGCTGCCTGTGTGGGACACAATACCAGTTTACCAGCATGAATTGCAGGTATAGCACACTCGCATTTGTGCCCGGTCAAGTGACCACGGATGACCTAAATGACCCATGCAAGATGGCACTACTCGCTTGATATTCCTGCAGGATCCGAAGACAGGCAAGTTTGCCCCCCTCGGCAGTGTCCAGGTGGCTCCTTGTTTCATTCAGATTAGCGTGTGCTTCGGCAAATAGATTGACGGCGATTTGTGTTGTGCACAGGCCTCTCGCTTGAGACTACAGCAAATGTTCATCACGCTAAGGCAGACCAATATTTGCAGTGACGTTCGCTTGAGAGCGTCGAGTGGTAATTCGTTGCTGCTCAGCTATGAATCCTGTCTATCTGGGGCCATCCGCTCAGGTTGTCGCCTGGTTCGGAGATGCTAATGATCCTAGCCTGCGGAATGACATCACTGAGGAGGCCGGGCAAGAGATCGGTTTTTGGGCTAGATCTCAAAAGGATCTTCAGAAAGACCGCACAAGGTCCAGCGCATGCTCTCTCCCTCGCAGCGTTCTGCAGTGCCGGCCATGGCAAGGCACTGAACAGACATGGAGATATATCTTTCGCGTTCTTGTGATTTTTTCCGCACAGGACTACCATTATCATGGCGCTTAACTTATTCCTGTGCAGTCGTGAACATCCATGAGCTCATCAGCTGCAGGCTTTGGGGCGACCCGGCCAAGTTCCGGGTGAAACAGCTGGAGGCATCCTTGAGAACCCAAAACGGAAAAGTTGTTGCTTGGTTGGATGCCGAATGCCATGCAGTACTACACAGTATTGCAAACCCATACGAGCACAGGTGACGTACGAGCAAGACTGGCTTGGTGATGAAAGGCCTGCAGCTGCACCGCCCCAGAGAGTTTGGCGACAAAGCATTCTGGACATTCCGGCACAGCCATTGAAAGACTGCTGGTGCTGCCTAAATGTTTACCCAGAGCCACACAGAAACCACTGCACATCCGCCGGCCGAAACTCCAGCTTCAAGTTTTTGACAAAGGGCCGATCATGAAGCGGTGGCACAGTGTTGTAGTGGCTATCCTGAGAACCCACGGCCTATGCAAAGCCCAAGGTTTGCCATAGCGAGGCGGTGCATGCAAACAGATTTGTTTGACACGTTGTGCCAGTTTTCAGGTATTGCAAGCCGCCCGGCTCGTCATCTGTCTGACTCATCATGAAAGTAGAAGACACACTGCCAGCTCAACCTCGCGCTGCTTTGAAACGCGTCCGACAGCAAGAAGGGGCGCAGAATTAGATGTGAGTTTCGTGTGCCCCCGCGGCATGGAAGAGAGGGGATCATGACAGCCTGCCCTGCTCCACCGACATGGGGTTACTGGCAACTCAGCTGAAGTTTGGAATCGGCTTCGCATGACGTTGCCAAGGTGTGGAGATGTCAGTTTGCAAGGAGTAGAAAGGCCCCGACCAAACCAAGCAGCATGATTGTGCAAAACCAACAACAGTTGCCAGTTATTGGTAGCCAGCTGTGTTTGTACAAGCGCAGGTAAGCAGTAGAATATTGAGACTGCTGACATTTAAACACTAGCTGACTAGCTTTAATAATACTAATGAGAAGAATAATAATAACAATAGCAATGATAATAACAACAACAATAGCAATAATAATAACAACAACAATAACAATAATAATAATAACAATAGTAGTAGTAGTAG